CAAACAACGCAGTCCGCCATTTTTCCCCCCCTTTTCCTTAGCTGTGCTACTCCCTTTTATTCTGTTGGCTTTTGAAAGCCAATAGAAGAGACTCTCTTGAATAGAGTCTAATTCTATTGGCTTTCCAAAGCCAATAGGAATTGTCCAGGCTGTCTCTGCCCTGCTGAGCCCGCCAAAAGTCCCATTCTGCAAACGGGGCTGCACCGGTTGAGTAGTCCTCGACTTACGACCGGTTGAGTAGTCCTCGACTTATGACCGGTTGGGGGTCGCGGCATTAAAAAGGTTGAGAACCACTGTTCTAAACTGAGTGAGTGGTGATGAAAAGTCCACTTATGGGGAGGGTGGAAGCTTTCTTCCCATTAGCACCAGCCCTCTTTTTACATGCGTCATGCTCTCTCATTTCTGGGGCAGAATCAGACATGGGGGAGCAGGTGGAGTCCACAGGGGGCTGATCACTTCCTGACAGGGAGGACAATTAACCAGTGGAACAGCTTCCCTCCAGAAGTTGTGGGGGTTCCATCACTGGAGGCTTTTAAGAAGAGACGGGACAGCCATTTGTCTGGAAAGGTATAGCGTCTCCTGCTTGAGCAGGGGGCTGGACTGGAAGACCTCTAAAGTCCCTTCCAGCTCTAATCTGATTGACTGATTGGCAGGGCCCCGCAAAAGGGACAGAATCAAAGCTCTTACTGACTTGGATGTTGTTTCCCACCTCAGGACCCCAGACTACATGTTGAATTATGACCCCCCCGTTGGGACCAGGAACCTAAGGCAGTCGTTAAATGAGTCGCCACATCTGATTTTTCCAAACCTTTGTGCCTTTTGTTAAGCATCGCCTAGTTGGTCAGCTTCCCTGCTGACTTGGCTTGCTGGGAAGGTCACAAAGGGATTCTGCAAAACCCCTCACCCCCTCCCACCCAAATGCCCAGATTTTGATCACGTGACCTTGAGGGTGCCGTAACGGTCATACCTGCAAGGAACTTTCAGTCACTTTTTTTAGCCCCGTGGAGGACAATAAGTCTTGTAACGCCCAGCCGATGCAGCTCGGCTACAAGACGTGCCTGGCGGAGACAAAACCAAACCCAAAAGATTTCAATCTTGCACCTGCAGCTTTGTTTGATCGGTTGACCTTTTTCACACCGTCCCGTCTCACTGCAGATCAGGACGGCGATAAGAAGCTGACCCTTTCCGAGTTCATCTCCTTGCCGGTCGGCACGGTGGAAAACCAGCAGGCCCAGGATGTGGACGACGACTGGGTGAAAGACCGGAAGAAAGAGTTCGAAGACGTCATTGACGCCAACCGTGACGGCATCGTTACCATGGCAGAGCTGGAGGTAACCGAGTCGCGGCTGATCTCTTAATTTCCCCCACAAAATGACATGTATTTTTCCTCCCCTGTGGTTAATGTCGTGACTGTTAGGCTGGCCATTCTTGAAACCAGCTGATGCCTGCTAGATCAAGCTGGCAATTCTCTGGAAACAGTCCAGATTTGAAGAAAGGAAGGGAAAAAACAACCAGACTACACTAATTTTTAATTTTCCCCCTCCCACGCTCAGCTGTCTCACGGCAGGTGAGTAAACGGATATGTGGGCACAGCACTTTTTCTGCGAAGTTGGTGTGCTGCCTCAGTTGCAGCTTCAGCTTTTTCTCTCTTCCAGTTAGCAAAAGGAGTGGGCGAAAGACCCCGGCACTTTCTCACAGGAGATATATGTATATAATTGAGTGGAATAACTCAGTTTTCTGCAAACCAGAGGCCTTTCATGTGTGGGAGCCTTATTTCCCAGGATTCTCTACCTGCTGGGGGATTCTGGGAATTGGCTGAGATATTGGACCTGTCCCAGGTTCATGAACATGGATTAAAGCAGTAATTTCAAGGTTGGCAACTCTTAAGATGTGTGGACTTCAATTCTGGGAGTTGATATCCACATATCTTAAAAGGTGAAAAACACCGGATTAAAACATGCCCTGGACAGTATTTTTTCCTTAATGCAGAGCAGAGATTCTTGTTTTGTTCTGCATCTGGATCTGTTCTAGATGTCAATTATATAACCAGGAGTGTCAGTTAATCTTGGTTGTTGGCACCGTTCTACCCCAGAATTAATCCCTCTCTCATCCTTCAACAGAGGAATTAGGGTGCTTGTATTTTAGCCTGTTGGAGAAGCCACCAAATGTGCAGCTTTTCCCTTCTCTGGCATATCATCTCTTCAATTTCTTCACTGTTACTTGAATCCTCTTTCTCCATATTTTTGTTCCCTCTTCTGCCTTTAGCGGGTTTCCCCAGAAGCAGTTCCCTGTTACGGCGCAGCAATGGAGGTGACATTTAATTACGCGAAATTATTTTGTGCTACAAGGACCCTTGTGCGTTTTTAGTAGCTCCAGCCTTTCTGCTGGGGTGCTGAGATACAGGAACAGTTGAGGATTGTATGGTTGTCTCTTCCCTCCCTCCTTGCCCCCCCCATTTCAAGACACCTGTGAAGGCCTTTCCCATCTTTAATTCCCTTTAATTTGTCTTTCCAAATTCTGAAGGTGCCAAAAATGGCACGTGAAATTTTCTGAGGCTTTGTGCTTCGTTGAGCTGCTTTAAAACAGCTCTTGAGTAAATCCAGAAACTGGATGTTGCTGGGGGGGGGGGAACCATCACTGCTTACTTGGGCTCACTCAGGAACATTGGGCACTCATTTCTGGGCACCAGACTTAAAAAAATGGAGTAAAAAAAAACACACACACACACACACAGAACAAGTTTTATTAAATTTTTCAGTTTTTACATCCAGGTAATTAGGAAGCAACGTGGTAATCAATAGTCCAATAACAGAACCATTCAATATATTTCAGGTTACAACCTTAAAATTCCCTCTCTGTTCCCCTTAATTTAATATCATATACAAATTAATACATTTTCTAAATAAAGCTCAATCGATCGATACATTTATCAATAACATTTTAGTTACACATATCCAAGTCCTGTTTTTGAGTTTTACTTGATTCCAATTACCAGATTGAGATTTAGTCTTGAATAACCACAATATTTAAACTTGGAGTAACCCCAATATCCCTCATTTCATTACAAAATAATTATCATATTCCCCCTAGAAAAAGGGAAAGCTTTAAGTTCTAGTCCTGCCTTGGGCCTCAAAGCTGGCTGGGTGACTTTGAATATTCAAAATATTCTGGTATTTTCTTGACCTTGAGTTACAGATGGAATCTAAATAAAACAAATAAAAGCCTGAAGCCTGTTCAGTCCTGCCCTCTCTTGTTCCAGGGGATGGAACACCTCCCTTGAGTAAACAGAAAAAAGCAAATATTGGTTGAATGTTAGGCTGCTAGAGCGCAAAGCTGACTCAGGACAGCAAGATGGGTGATATATAAATTTAAAAATAAACTAAGTAAGGCCAGCTTGATGGTGGAAGCTGTTCCCCAAGGAGTTATTAGCTCCTTTTTCTGGGTGGAGAGGTGGACAAAGTCAGCATTCACTCATCTAGGATACTTTAGCTTTGAATTACTGACGGTGGAGGTTCCCGGGGGGAGGGTGTCCTTTCTTTCTTCACTCACTCACTCGCCTCCTCTTCTAGGAATACATGGACCCCATGAATGAATACAACGCCTTGAACGAAGCCAAACAAATGATTGCCGTGGCAGATGAGAACCAGAATCACCACCTGGAGCTGGAGGAGATCTTAAAATACAGCGAATATTTCACCGGCAGCAAGCTGATGGATTACGCGCGCAACGTCCACGAGGAATTCTGAACGGGCGGAGCCCGGGGCGCCCGTCCGTCGCACTTTCTCGCTTTCCCAAAGACGGCGCGTTTCCTTCTGCGGCTCGGTCCGCGTTCCGTGCATCCACAGCGTGGCGTTCTGGACTTTTTAAAAGCCGTCCATGTAGATTAAAAGCCAAATGTTTTCCGAACTCAAACCAGGATGGAATCCGGACAGGGTTCTTGCTTTGTGGTGCGGGCTGAACAGTGTTCGCTTCATTCTCCGAAGATCCCATTCTCCCATTGTTTTTTTTTTTTTTTTTTTTAAATTAGGAACACCACAGGGGAAGACAGCAAAGGCCTGATCTTGGATCACTGGGGTGTGCGGGAGAAAGAGGGCATGTTAATTTTACATCACGTTAAATCATGGTGTGGTTGTGTAGCTCTTGTGATTGCTTGAAAAGAATGTTTCAGGAAACACTGATTCATTTGGAACTGCTCATCCTGTGGTGGCTCCTTTGGGTAGCTCAGCTGGGAGGACTGCAGGTGGTCCTCTGCTTAACGTCTACAGTGGGAACAGGAAACTTCGCTGTCGTTAAGTGGGGTATCCCATGAAGACAAAGGATCTTATGACCATTTTAGGCATGGTCATTAAGCAAATCAAACGGCTGTTCAATCCAGTTTCCCCCATTGAAAGGAAAGGATGCAAATGGTGATCACATGGCAGAACAGGGTTGTGACTTGCAAATGTCCATCTACAGAGCATAGGGCATGCAAACAGTGCCCTCCTGGATTATTTTGGGTATAGCAGTCTGACAGGGACTACAAAGACCATCTATAGCACAGGGCAGAGCCTGTCAACCTTGGGGGGGGGGTCTGTGGGGGGGTGGGCGGGGATGGGGGGATTGTGGGTCTTTGGTGGAGGGGGCAGGGACTGGGGTGGGTGCCTTCTCTTCCTCTCTCCCTCCCATTGTCCCTTCCTTTGACATTTCTTCCTACCTTCCCTCTGTTCTTTTTCTTGATCCTTCCTTCCTTCCTTCCCTCCCTCTCGTCCCTCTCAACACCCACAACTTCTGGAGGCAATTTAAATGTAAAACCTTTTAAAAAAAACAACCCACTGCCTCTGATCAGCAGAAGCCTCCAGGCAAAATCCAAAATGGGGTGGGGGATTTCCTTCCAGTAAGGCAGGGATCTTCCAACGTGGCCCTCGGATGACTGGTGGACTTCCAACTCCCAGAATTCCTCAGCCAGCAGGCCTGGCTGAGGAATTCTGGGAGTTGAAGTCCACCAGTCATCCAAGGGCCAGGCTGGAAGACCCCTGCAGAATCTCTGGGGTCAGCAGAATCTCTGCTGGGTCTGTGCCAGGGAGAGGAGGAGGCGGCAGCAGCCACAGGCCACCAATGTCAGGCGGATGCAAACAAGCCACCTTGCGAAGTGCTGCCTTTAACCAGCCCAAGAGGAAGCAGAGCAGTTCCCGAAGGGATTGCAGACGACGGAAGTACAGTACCATGCAGTTAACAAAAAAAAATAATATTTTAAAATACAGAAGTAATTCTAACTCTCTAGTCCTCAAACCCAGCAAGCAGTAGGTCTCCCACGAAGCTCCAGCAAAGCAGAGCTTGCAAAACTCAGCCAGTCGGCTTCGACCACGTGATCAGGCACAAAAAAAACTCACTTCCGGCTTCCATCCGAGCCACGTGGCTGCAGAGACCTCTTTTTGGTAGCGGTTTTGCACGTTTAACAGTAAGTCCCTTTTCTGAATTAAGTTGGTTTTTGGGAACACTGGCTAAACAAACGCTCGTACCTGGGGAGGGGGTGATTACCTGTATATAGCCATTCGTGTTAAAATTAAGAATTAGGTCCCACTTGAATAACTTTCAACTTCTCGTGGGAAACGCCTATCCAATGGGCCACACTCCCCCTAATTGGCCACGCCCAGCCAATGGGCCACGCCTACCCGGCACCCGACGATGCATAAGTGAGTTTTGGGTTGCAGTTTGGGTACTCGGTCTCTAAAAGGTTCACCATCACTGAGTTACGTTGTAAACCTAAAACCCCATTTAAAAAGGTTTATTTCTTTTGGTGGCCGCAATACCCGCTTTTGACCACAGGAGGGCGCAGTGTTCCGTCCCATAGCATTAACATTGAGGCCGTCGTAGGCCTTTTGCCCAGGATCGGGACACCGAGAAGCTAAGCCCCAAAGCGCAGAGCGTCCGCCAAAGCGTCGCCACTCTATGCTCCTCCGAAAGGGACGGGCCGCTTCCCTCGGTCTTCTGCGCATGTCCGCCGGCTGGTTATTCGCCAGTAATCTCCGAGAAGCCCTCTCGGCATGGCGGACTTCCTGTCCCTCGATATCGGCCGTCCCCCAGGTCCTCTGGGGAAAAGGACCTTTCCATCATGGCCGGCTTCCGTTCCGGTCCTTCTTAGTCACCCTCCAACTTCCTTTTGCGGCGACCTTCTGGGAATTGACGTCCGAGCAACGAGTTAGGCCGTAAACTTAAAACCCCATTAAAAAGGCTTCTGTCTCTTGGCGGCCGCAATCCCCGTTTTTCACCACAGGAGGGCAGGGTTTTCCGTCCCATAGCATTTTTTCGACGGCCTCAATGCCGCTATCGCTAAGGCAGGGAAAGCAGCGCCCTCCTGTGGCCCAAGCCGGGTATAGCAGCCACCAAAAGAAATAAACCTTTAAAATGGCAGAAGGGCCTCCCGTCGCCCTATTAATATTAATAAGGGGTTAATAGTAAAGAGGAGGGAAATAAATAACCTTAAAATCCCATTTAAAAGGTTTATTTGTTTCGGCAATTCCCCAGTGGCTTGGGAGTCGGTCTTCCTATTTATGGCCGACTTCCTGTCCGTCCTTCTTAGTCTTCCCTGCCAACTTCCTTTCGCAGCGACCTCCCCGCCAAGGAGGACTTCCTGTCCGCCCGCTGCGGTCGTCCCCCGGTGCCTTCGGCTACGGCCGACTTCCTGTCCTGTGGAGGTGGAAGGAGGTAAGGAGATGGGCGAGCGGGCCGGGTTGTGTCCCCCTCTGCCTTTCTCGGGCTGGAACCGCCAGCAGGCCCAGGCAAGGCGGGGACTCGGTCCAGGAGGAGGGGGAAACGCAGGCTTGGGGGTTCAGGAGGGCTGCGCTTGTCTCGAGGCACCGACGCTTCTTCCCGCCTCTTTTTGGGGGCGGAGGGGGGGGGAGAATGCAGAGCACATCTGTCCCTCCGGAGAAGTTCCCCGGTTGGGAACACACTGAAGAGGGAGCTTTGAGTGCCAGTTGTTCTATCAGCTGCTGTATTATTTTCTATTGAATAGATTTGTATGACTCTATTTCACCATTGGTCTCGGTTCTCCTAAGAAGACAATCGACTTATAGCAGTTTTAAAGTAATCAAATGACCTAGAAAGGGCAGCCCTCTTTTACAGCGAGCTGGTTCTGAAATTGAAAGACTAAAAGGAAGTTGGGGGCAACTGAAGGGAACTTGGATGGCTTCGTGAACTGGTCTTTTACTATCGCCAAAAGTTTGCTTCTTTTCATGAGCTACTGAGCTTGCAGAGATCTATATCCTGCCTTTTCTAAAGGAAGGGCAGAATTCTCACCTTCCGTTTGAATAAAGGATGTTTCTGATCTGACCGATCTTGAATGTACTTTTGCATAGACAAATCCATCTTCAGTTTTTCCCCATTCTTACACCCTAAGCAGTTTATTTTTCTTGCAGATGATGAGGAATTGGTGAAAAAAACCAACAAATGTTTCCTGGTTTGGGAGGTGAGTAATATTTATGGTCTAACTGAGCCATTTGGTGATTCCCAGCGTCACTAAGAAAGTCCTGGTTTTTATTATGCCCCCTTAGTGACAGGACAGAGAAACATCTTCAGGAACCTCTTGAATTCAAAAAGTGGGAGATGTCAGGACTCACACTAAAGGGTTATTTCAGTTAGCCGCGGCTTATAAAGCACGTTTGTGTTTTTAGCATGTTGTACTTAACCAATCCCTCAGGGCTTCACCAGTAAGCCATGGGCAAGGAAAGAGGAATCATCTGCATTATGCGAGCTTCCAATCCATGCAATGCAACCCTCGATACGTAGGCTGGCTCAGAATCTCTCCTGCCTCTCTCTGTGTCCTTCTAGGGCACGGCAAAGGAGCGGAGCTTTGGCGAGGTGAAGTTCAAGCAGTGTCCTACTGAAAACATGGCACGGGAGCATTTTAAGAAACACGGCACTGAGCATTATTGGGATCTGGCTCTGAGCGAGTCAGTCCTAGAACCCACAGACTGACGGCCTTTTCTGGAGCCCCTTCTCACATTTCTGGGCGTTTGACATAAAGAGCAAGAACCGAGCAGAAACATTAGACTCTAAGCCCCCCCCCTCCTCATTCCCACAAATTCCTCACAGTACAATGCATACAATTAAAGGAAATATTTTTCAGATCCAAATAACAGGTTTTGATTTTAATGTTTGGCTTTGGACTAACAGGACACACGTGTGAGAGAGATCTTCAACTTCCCCTCTGCCACAAGTACACCTTCACTCAGTCTTGGGGTTTTATCATTCCTGCCCTGCAGGAGTGCCAAGGAGAGGATATTAAAATGTCTGGCTCTCAAAAATGCTATTCTACTCTTAGGAAAGTTCAGGTCTTTCAGATACCTTGCTTGTCCCCACACACCCCATTTAATGCATTTTCTTGCTGCAGAGAGAGATTCTGTTAAGTTTTAGCTGGAAGTCCACGTCTCTTATTCTGTTGGTAGCCGCTTTGCTTGGGTTGGTCGTAGCCGAGGGGTATTTAAAAACAGCGAGGAAAGTGCACAGGACTTCCTGTTTCCTTCCTCACCTGTTTCCTGGGAGAGGGGAAGTTATTTATTGAGAATAAAGCGGTCAAGCCCTCTGAGAGGAATTAAGTCCTACGGTTAAAGAAGGAATAACAGCCACAAAAGGAAATAAACCCTTTTGATAAGATTTTAAGATTATTATTACCGGTATTTATCTATTGAAGCTATTGAATGCTATTAAGGGTCAAAAAACAGGGCCATCCTGTGGTTGAAGCAGGTAGAGGAGCCATTAAAAAACTTTTAAATGGCATTTTAAGGTTATTCTTTATTATTAAAACCCAAACGGGCCTCCCCTGGCCCTATTAATAAGGTGTTAATACCGATAATAAAGAGAGAGAATACCGTAATCTTAAATTGCCATTAAAAAGATTTATTTCTTTTGGTGGCCGCAATACCCGCTTTTGACCACAGGAGGGCACACTTTTCCGTCCCATAGCATTAACGTTGAGGCCGTCGTAGGCCTTTTGCCCAGGATCGGGACACCGAGAAGCTAAGCTCCAAACCGCAGAGCGTCAGCCAAAGCGTCGCCACTCTATGCTCCTCCGAAAGGGACGGGCCGCTTTCCTCGGCCTTCTGCGCATGTCCGCAGTACCGCACATACAGCACCGTACCTACGGCATCATAAATTCTTTTTAACTAGGTTTAAGGCTTTTGAAGCAGATTTCTTCTTCCGCGCCTGCGTTGCTTCAAACGGGCCTCCCCTGGCCCTAGTAATAAGGTATTAATACCCTTAATAAAGGTAGAGAATACCGTAATCTTAAATTGCCATTTAAAAGTATTTATTTCTTTCGGCGGCAGCAATACCCGCTTTTGACCACAGGAGGGCACAGTTTCCCGTTCCATAGCATTAACGTGGAGGCTGTCGTCGGCCTTTTGCCCAGGATCGGGACACCGAGAAGCTAAACTCCAAAGCGCAGAGCGTCAGCCAAGGCGGTGCCACTCTATGCTCCTCCGAATGGGACGGGCAGCTTCTCGGCCTTCTGCGCATGTCCGCCGGCTGGTTCTCCACCAGTAATCGAGAGGCCTCGGCATAGCGTACTTCCTGTCCCTCGATATCGCCGTCCCCCATGGCCCACTTCCGGTCCGTTCCTTCTTATTCATCCTCCAACTTCCTTTTGCGGCGACCTTCTAGGCCGTAAACTGACACCCCCATTAAAAAGGCTTCGTTCTCTCGGCCGCCATGCCGAGAAGGTCGCTCTGTTCCTCCTGCCTAAGGCTGCGTTCTGCTGCCTTTGCCCCTAAAGTAACAATCCTGGTCTTTCATCTCTTGGGAAAGCCTGACTTTTTTGCCCTCTGTGGGGCGAGGAGAGAGGAGGGCCTGAGGTCTGACCCATTTTGCAGTTAGAAAAGAGTTAGGTCGACGTAATGGCGCCTTCTGATGACTTTGTCCCCAAAATGACCAACACAGTTTGTGACTTTTTTGCCCTCTTTGGGGTAAGTATTATTTCCTTGGGTGGCTGCTATTCCAAATAACCACAGGGGGGCACTCTTTGCACGCCCTGTGTTATATATGGTCTTTGTAGTCCCCTTCAGGCTATCACGCCCAAAATAACCACAGGAGGGCTCTCTTTGCATGCCCTGTGCTATAGATGGTCTTTGTAGTCCCTGTCAGGCTGCTATGCCCAAAATAATGACAGGAAGGTACCCTTTTCATGCCCTGTGCTATAGATGGTCTTTGTAGTCCCTGTCAGGCTGCTATGCCCAAAATAATGACAGGAGGGTACCCTTTTCATGCCCTGTGCTGTAGATGGTTTCTGTAGTCCTGTCAGACTGCTATGCCCAAAATAGCCCCAGGAGGGCACTCTTTTCATGCCCTGTGTTATAATTGGTCTTTGTAGTCCCTGCCAGGCTGCTATGCCCAAAATAATGACAGGAGGGCTTTCTTTGCATGCCCTATGCTATATATGATCTTTGTAGTCCCTTTCTGGCCATTGTGCCCAAAATAACCACAGGAGGGCACTCTTTTCGTGCTCTGTGTTATAGATGGTCTTTGTAGTCCCTTTCTGGCCGCTATGCCCAAAATGACCACAGGGGGGGGCACTTTGCATGCCCTGTGCTATAGATGGTCTTTGTAGTCCCTGTCAGACTGCTATGCCCAAAATAACCACAGGAGGGCACTCTTTACATGCCCTGTGCTATAGATGGTCTTTGTAGTCCCCTTCAGGCTGTTATACCCACAATAACCACAGGAGGGCAAAAGCTCCAGCAAAGCAAAAGAGTTCTTGCGAAACTCAGCCAATCGGCTTCGGCCACGAGACCAGGCACCCCCCCCCCCCCAAAAAAAACCCACTTCCGGCTTCTCTCCGAGCAAAAAAAAAACCACTTCCGGCTTCTCCTCCCGGAGCCTCGTGGCTGCAAAGGGCCGTTTTTGGTGGCGGTTTTGCTCGTCTAGCAGTGAGTCCCTTTTCTGAATTCGTAGGTTTTTATGAACCCTGGACAAACAGTGATTACGTGTGTATAGCTATTCGTGTTAAAATTAAGAATTAGGTCCCAACTTGAATAGCTGCCCCCTGCTTTGAATTAAGCAGCCAGTTGCATGTCCGCCGCCTTTAAACATGGCGACACGGTTAAAACGCCGCTGAAAAAAATACAGCCTCTTTTATCCCTTTTTCTAATTAATAAATACAAAAAAAGAAAGCACCAAATTCTAAAGGGACAAGCTAAAAAAAGAAATGAATACATGCAGGATATATACTTACAGAACGTCTATATCCATAAACGGAAGTGATGATTCATTGCAGACGTTCATACCTAATCTATATTCATTAATTGTGCAAACCACAGAAGAGTTGCAGCCATGTGTTTGTCTTCCCAGGACTGCCCTTGTGGCTTCTCAAGCACAGGAGCCAGAAGGGAGGATGGGAATCCCAACTATTTTCAGCTCTGTAGGGGTAGACAACCCTGGTGCCTGTTTGCTTAGGGGTCTATTTCAGCTCAGCTTGAAATTGGAGAAAGGTGTCATGAACTTTACAAGGGTGGTAGGGTTAGGTTAACTGGCCCAAGGAAAGCAGAAAAGAGTCCTCCTTAAGGGAGGTGGGCAAAAGGTTCACAAGAGGAAGCCCCCTCATGCAGGACCAAGCAAAGGTCCATGCATCCCCTTTGGGGTGAATCTCCCACCAGCTATTCTTTGGGAAAAACCTAAGGCCAAGTCAACTGAGTCAGCATTCTAGAATGTAACATTTGCTCCTTTCTGAAGTACGACTGAAGATTTGCAAGATCAGAAATTGTCTTCTCCTCTAATTCTGTTTTTTTCTTTCCTTCCGACCCCAGATATAGGAAGGAATCAACGGACCATGATGCCCATCTGCTTCCTGACGGCGGCGGTGTGAGATGGCTGAGCTTGTTTGGGTGGGTGGGAGGGCCACGTGTCTCTTGGAGCATCTGCCACGGATCCACGAAGTTCAGACTCATCTGCACCAGCCACACGGATTCCTGTCTTGAGTTGAAGACCAACCTTCCAGTGTCCAGTAAAAGGACCTCCGCTTTGATGTAGTGTTGTAGTGTTTGATACATTTGTGCAGTTGTTGTGTGTTTTATTTCTAGCTTCCTGGGCTGTTAAAAACCCCCAAACACCAAAAGGAACCCCCCCACGTTATGGGGGGGTGCCATTGTAAGGGGGTGCCCATGGTAAGCTAGCTTTCGGGGCGAATGGTATATATATTACAGGTAGTCCTTGACTTAACGGCCACATTTGAGTCCAGAGCTTCTGTTGCTAAGCAAGGCATTTTGTTAAGTGGGTTTTGCCCAATTTAATGACTTTCCTTGCTACATTTGTTAACTGCAAATGTTGAGTTAGCAACATGGTTCTTAAGCGAATGTCGCTTCCCCATTGACTTCGCTTGTCAGGTCACAAAATGCGATCACCTGAGCCCAGAACACTAGCCGTCATAAGTATGAGTCAGTTGTAAAGCTTCTGAACTTAATCACATGCCACGAGGATGTTGCCATTGTAAGTTACTTCCTTCAGTGCTGTTGTACCTTCAAATAGTCACTAAATGAACTGTTTTAACTCAAGGACTACCTATACCAGCTTTTAGGTAGTAATATATATAGGCATTCTTCTATGTACATATTAGCATTTCGTACAGATAGTTGTATTTACTAAAAATATGCTAATATGCACATATATGTGTATGTATATATATGAACACAGAGAGACATAATTGGTCTATTCCCAGAATAAACCAATTATGCCAACAAGTCTCTGCATGTGCATATATACATATATACATGCCCCAACGTTTCGCTTCTCATCCAAGAAGCTTCTTCAGTTCTGGCTGAATGGTGGGGAGTGGAAGGATTTATATTCTTTGCAGTCATCTGGTCCTTAGTACCCCAAAGGTAAGTCGTTAGCTCTCCGAGAGTCATTGAGGCCTCTCGGGGGTTTATCTGTATCCTCGGGGTCACCTGGACCCATGTGGCGGTGGGCCTGGGACCTTCTTGGGACTGCTGCAAGGACCGTGTTGGAGACAGGAGGTAAGTGGTGTCGTATCCCTCCCCCCTTTGTTGAGAGAGGCCTTTGGTTTTAACACAGATGGCCTCTTTGACCCCTCTTTCAAACCAGCGGTCCTCTCTATCCAGAACGTGGACTTTGCTGTCTTCGAAAGAGTGGCCTTTGTCTTTCAAAAGCAGATGGACCGCTAAACCTCGTCCTAGTGGGCTTGTTCTATGCAATTGTGGTTTGTTTTGTTTCTCCAGTGTAGAGATCTGTACATGTCTCACCACATTCTACTGCAAATATTGTATTGCTCAGTTTGTGTGTGAGTGTTTTATCCTTGGGGTGGACAAGCTTCTGCCTTAGTGCAGAGTTTCTCAATCTTGGCAACTTTTTAAGATGTGTGAACTTCAGCTCCCAGAATTCCTGAGTGAGCATTCTGGCTGAGGAATTCTGGTAGCCGAAGTCCACACATCTTAAAAGTTGTCAAGGTTTTGAGAAACATTGCCTTCTCAATCTTGGCAACTTTTTAAGATGTGTAAGCTTCATTCCCAGAATTCCTGAGTGAGCATTCTGGCTGAGGAATTCTGGGAGCTGAAGTCCACACATCTTAAAAGTTGTCAAGGTTCTGAGAAACATTGCTTTCTCAATCTTGTCAATTTTTTAAGATGTGTAAACTTCAGCTCCCAGAATTCCCGAGTGAGCATGCTGAGGAATTCTGGGAGCTGAAGTCCACACATCTTAAAAGTTGTCAAGGTTTTGGGAAACACTGCCTTAGTGTATTTTGGGGTTGGTAGTGTGCACGTACGTTGAGTTAGTTGAAAATCCTGAGCTTTTCAGGAGTTAGTTAAAATCCTGAGTTTTTCAGATAATTCCTGCATTTTATGGATTGATGTTGGTTCTTTTGTTGTTGTATTTCTCCTTATTGGGGGCAGGGGGGGACAAAGGATCCTACTGGAGCTTTGTCTGGATTTGATGGAAGGCCCACTTGGGATAGCCATAGGTTCTGAGGGCTTCTTCGATGTGTTTTAGTCCTGTTCCCTCTGCTGGTAGGTAAACCTTCAGCCCAGTAGTGTAGGATTGTGATGACTTCCATGTTTTTCCTCCAGTGGAGGTAAACAATACTTCACTGTTGAAGTATGACTCTTGTCCTGATGGGTTTGTTCTCCTATGTTGTGCCATGCGCTTGTGAAGTAGTAGTTTTGTTCACAAATGCATGGCACAACATAGGAGAACAAACCCATCAGGACAAGATTCAGCACTTCATGTGTCTGAGGAGATTGTTAGCCAGCCAGATCATGGTTTGCTCCAAAGGTCCTTTCCCAAGAGGCCACTAGACTGTTTTTTCTTGAAGACTTTCACTTCTCATCCAAGAAGCTTGAGGGATGAGAAGTGAAACATCTTCAAGGAAAAACAAAGGAAGTCCAGTTGCCTCTTGGGAAAGCACATTTGGAACAGCGGTCCATCTGCATTGGAGAGACGAAGGCCACTCTGGAAGACAGCAAAGTCCACATTCTGGATGGAGAGGACTCCTGGCTTGAAAGAGGGGTCAAAGAGGCCATCTGTGTTAACAGGCCTCTCTCAACAAAAGGGGGAGGGATACGACACCTCCTGTCTCCAACACAGTCTTTTCAGCAGTTCCAAGAAGGTCCCAGGCCCATCTCCACACTGGTCCAGGTGACTCTGAGGGTACAGGTGAACCCCCAGGTGGCTTCAAGGGCTCTTGGAGTACTAACGACCAGATGACTGCAAAGAATATAAATCGTTCCACACACCCCCACCATTCAGCCAGAACTGAAGAAGCTTCTTGGATGAGAAGCGAGGCGGCTCAAAAAAAAAAAAAAAAAAAACCAACAAAACACAAGCACCGCCCACCACACACTGATCCACGTATAAAGTCAAGTCACAGAGTGTCCGGTCCATTCGTTCTCTCTCTCCTCCTCCCCCCCCCCCCCGCCTGTGTACTTTGACACAGTTGCATACAGTCATCTGGGCTTAAGATCTATTGGGGTTTTCCTAATAGATCTTAGCCTATATTGTTCTATGTGTCTGTGTATCTCAACAGAGACACATAGAACAATATAGGCTAAGATTTATTAGGAAAAAAGTCCCAATAGATCTTAGCCTATATTGTTCTGTGTTAAGATGCACAGACACATAGAACAATATAGGTAAGATCTATTAGGAAAACCCCAATAGATCTTAAGCCCAGATGACTGTATGCAACTGTGTTAATGTACACAGGCACATACAGTACTTTAACATAGTTGCATAGTCATCTATTGTTCTGTTTCTGTGCTAAGATACACAGACACATAGAACAATATAGGCTAAGATCTATTAGGAATAACCCAATAGATCTTAAGCCCAGATGACTGTATGCAACTGTGTTAATGTACACAGGCACATACAGTACTTTAACATAGTTGCATAGTCATCTATTGTTCTGTTTCTGTGTTAAGATACACAGACACATAGAACAATATAGGCTAAGATCTATTAGGAATAACCCAATAGATCTTAAGCCCACATGACTGTATGCAACTGTGTTAATGTACACAGGCATATACAGTAATAGGCATATTCCCTAATATATGGTATGTTTATAATCTACATATTACCATATATTAAGGCAGTGTTTCTCAACCTTGACAATTTTAAGGCATGCTGGCTGTGGAATTCTGGGAGTTGAAGTCCACATGCCTTAAAATTGTCAAGGTTGAGAAACACTGTATTAAGGTGTATACCATACTGTTACCAGCTCTAGGCAGCAAAAGAAAAAAAAAGCCACTAGAGGGCAGCAAAGTACATTTGGCATCATCTAGTGGCCTAGCATGTTTTTGCAGCCCAGATCTGGTAACCTTAGAGCAGTCTTTTTCAAACTTGGCCACTTTTAAGATGGATGGCTTTCAACTCCCAGAATTACTTGGGAGTTGAAGTCCCCCATATCTGACAAGTTTGCAAAACACTGCCCTGGTTTATACACAATATACATCCAGTTGCATGTGTGTATCTTTCTTCTGCAGTTCCACTGATAGATATATATATGGGCAATCCAGGGACCCTCCTTCGTGTCACAATTTGCCTCTACGGCAACAGTTTTCCAGAAGGAAGTTCCTAGAAAAGGAAGTGTCTTGATGGGGGCATCAGGATACCTCCAGAATACCAAAACCATCTTCCTGTTCTGGAAAGATTCCTTTGGGGAAACTGCTGGATTAGCCCAATCGGCATGAGGAAAACAAGGACGTTTAAAATTGCCCAGAAGGTACCCTTTTGCCCATATATACCAGTCACTTTTCTCCTGATTGCACAAGGGCTGCAAAGTCTCGGGTGCTGAGGCCTTGCCCGTCCGAGTTCTCTCTGGCCACCAAGTCCCATCATCCTCAGTCCATGCTGCACCGGCCGAGGAGAGGAATAACTGTGGTGTTCTCCCTGCTGGTTTGGCAGCTGCCCTAGCCCACCCAGCAGGGAGGCCCCACAAGATGACTTGTGACCAAGCCAGCAAAAACTGGCATGGAGAACAGATCAGGCAAAGATCCCCATGCTGCACCAAGCTAGAGATGTACTACAACTCCTAGCAGCCCCAGGCAGCACGGTTAAGGAGGGGTGCTGCTTCGGCAGTCCTGGTGCAATCAGGCAAAGTGCCAATGGAGCTGGAGAAGAAAGGATACTTACACACGTGCTTGACTTACCTGTGGCAGGATCTTCTCCTAATGTGGGATTTCGAAAACCAGCACCCCTGACAATGAAACAGCCATTTTCAAGCACACCAACCCCCTCATCCCGAGACCAACACTTAATAAAGGTATTTTATTTACAAGAAAAACACTCGCAAAGTCTCTTCTTCTTCTTAAGATCTCCAGATGTTGCAGGTAGCGTTGGTGGCTGTTCCGGAAAGGCAGACTGAACTATTTCAGCTAGGTGCAAGGAATGGAAGCCCTCCTGTCCCCCAGAATGGTCTCTGCACACGTGGGCTACAGCCTGTCTTACTACCTCCTGATTCTTGGGCTAAAGCCTTTATTATCATCTCCCGATTCTAGCCTATCTATCATGGTTCCTGTTACCCACCATCTCTTCTTCGCTCCCACAGCGCTGTTATTAAAGCTTTGGGGAGACCCCCACGTGCTCACCCCCTCTTCTTCTGCTGCCTGCTTGGCCAACCCGTGGCTTCCGAGCCCTCCAAAGAGGTCTGCAGGAACGCCAGCCTTGGGGTTCTCCTTCTCCAGGGTCCAGCTCAGCTGGATTTCCCTTCTTCCCACCCTGCCTAGATGTTGTCATAGGGGAATGTTGTAGCTACAGCCGGCCACTTCGTTGTAAGAGGAGCAGCAGATAGGAAGGACGCTCTCTGCCACCAGCTTGTCTGTGGAGAATTCGTAGGCGTAGATAATGCCTCTGTGCCTGTTCAGAGAGAAGCAAGGGGAGAAAAGGGAAAAGAAATTAAGCAGGGCGCTTTTCAACCAGCCTGGTTCCCAGCAGTTCAAAACCCTCTGGAGCAACTTTCCAACCTTGGCAACGTTAAGATGTCTGCACTTCAAATTCAAGCTAGCTGGGGAATTCTGGGAATTGGCCCTTACGTCTTAAAATTGCCCAGATTGGAGAACGTTGCTCCAGACCAGGGGCCTTCAAACATGGCTCTTTTATGACTGGGGGAGTTCAAGTCCACAAGTCATAAAAGGGCCAAGTTTGAAGACCCCTGCTCCACACTCTGGTTCCTCTCTAGGGCCAAGAAGATGTTAAAATGCAAGCACATCAATTCAGAGTAGACCATTGTGCTTAAAGGAGCACCCTTAACAGTTCCGGGTTGTTCTACTTTTAGAGTAGTGCTTCTCAACCTCGGCTACATTAAGACGTGTGGACTTCAATCCCCAGAATTCCCTGTCTGGGGAATCCTGGGGATTGAAGTTCAGTCCTCTTAAAGCTGGCATGTCAAACTGCTGGTCCGTGGGCCGGATGCGTCACGCCAAAACTGTGCCCACCCCATTGCCGGCAATGGGGAACAAGTCACGATACGTTGCGCGACATCTCATGATGTCACAAGTTTGACCTGCCTGTCTTAAAGATAATGAAGGTTGAGAAACACTGCTCTAGATACCTCAACTATCCTGTATTCACCTTCTTGGAAGTCAGCTCAGAGTATGAGGAAACAGATGGGAAGGGAGAAGGGGAGCAAAGAGGAGATAAGAGAGGGAAGTGGAGGAAGAGGGGGGGAAGACAAGAGAAAAGGAGGTGGGAGGGGAGGGGAGAAGAGGGGAGGTAAAGGAAGGGGAGAGGAGGGAAGGGAGAAGATAAGATTTAAAACAGGATTTGGATAAGCTAAACTACTCTGTATTCCAAGAGGATGCGAGGCCAATAGCCATCCAGAAGCATCTGGATTTCCCATCAACCTTAGCCAAGCCAACCCATAATAATGGGTGCTGGAACATCTTACCACCCTTCACCCATCACGCTGGGTTTGTTCTTCCAGGCCACTTGCTGCTCACCAGAGCTTGCTTACGATTTATAGCTGGCTACCTTCCTATCCTAAACCCCTGCCTGGCTTGGCCACAACATCCCGGCTCTCTGCCACCACAAGCTCTCAAACGCTCCTCCATTGTGGCTTCTCCTCTTTTTTTGTTTAAACCAGGGGTCTTCAAACTTGGCCCTTTTGTGATTTGTGGACTTCAATGCCCAGAATTCCTCAGCCAGGCACGCTGAGTCCACAAGTCCTAAAAGGGCCATGTTTGAAGACCCCTGCTCCAAAGCAGCATTTCTCAAACTTGACAACTCTTAAGACCCGTGGACTTCAACTCCCAGAATTCCCTAGCCAGGGCTGAGGAATTCTGGGAGCTGAAGTCCACAAGTCATAAAAGGGCCACGTTTGAAGACCCTTGGTTTAAACTGAGGAAAGCCAACTTGGGGGAATGCCTCCCAGCGTCCCACAATATTGTCTAGCTAAGACTGCTGGGAATTGTAGTCTAGCAACCCTGAGAGTGGTGTCACACGGCTCCTTCTGCTGGTTAAGATCAAAGTACCACTGTGAGGGTCAGCTCTCACCTTCGGGGAGCGGTCAAGTCGTCGTCCATGATGCTGGCCCCATTGGGGATGTTGGCCGTGATGAGGCTGTGGGAGCTAAAGCGGAGCTGGCGAACTGGGTGCCTGGAAAAAAAGGGAGCCCCGGAGTCCATCAGTGGCTTTTCAATAATCTCTCCATGTTTACATGCAGCGGACATGCAACTGGCTGTTTAATTAAAAGCAGGTGCGCTTATTCAAGCGCACAGTAAATCAGAACAAATGCAAAGTAAAACCCTAGGAGTTTATTTTATTTTATTAAAAACCTTTCTACTGGGTGTCTGAAAATAAAAAGGAGCCACGGAGGCCTTCGGCGGCTCTTCAAGACGGTCTCCATATTTAAATGCAACTGGCTGCTTAATTAAAAGCAGGTGCGCTTATTCAAGTGCACAGTAAATCGGAACAAATGCAAAGTAAAACCCTAGGAGTTTATTTTTGTTTTATTTTATTTTATTAAAAACCTTTCCACTGGGTGCCTGGAAGAAAAAGGGAGCCCGCGAGTCTATCAGCGGCGTTTTAACCGTGTCGCCATGTTTCAAGGCGGCGGACATGCAACTGGCTGCTTAATTCAAAGCAGGTGCAGTTATTCAACTGGGAATTAATTCTTAATTTTAACACGAATGGCTATATACAAGTAATCCCCCCCCCCAGGTACGAGCGTTTGTTTAGCCAGTGTTCCCCAAAACCAACGAATTCAGAAAAGAGACTCACGGTTAGACGAGCAAAACCGCCACCAAACACGGACCTCTGCAGCCACGAGGCTCCGGGAGGAGAAGCCGGAAGTGGGGTTTTTTTTTTGGTCGGAGAGAAGCCGGAAGTGGTTTTTTTTTTTTTTTGGTGCCTGGTCTCGTGGCCGAAGCCGATTTGCTGAATTTCGCAAGAGCTCTTTTGCTTTGCTGGAGCGTTTGCCCTCCTGTGGCTATTGTGGGTATAACAGCCTGACAGGGGACTACAAAGACCATCTATAGCACAGGGCTTGTAAAGAGAGCCCTCCTGTGGCTATTTTGGGCATAACAGCCTGACAGGGACTACAAAGACCATCTATAGCATACTGTATGGAAAGAGAGCCCTCCTGTGGTTATTTTAGGTGTGATAACTTGAAGGGGACTACAGAGACCATCTATCTAGCACAAGGCATGCAAAGAGAGCCCAACTGTGGTTATTTTGGGTATAGCAGCCTGACAGGGACTACAATGACCATATATAACACAGGACATGCAAAGAGTGCCTTCCTGTGGTTATTTTGGGCATAGCGGCCAGAAAGGGACTACAAAGACCATCTATAGCACAGGGAATGCAAATTGTGCCCTCCTGTGGTTATTTTAGGCATAGCGGCCAGAAAGGGACTACAAAGACCATCTATATAGTACAGGGCATGAAAAGAGTGCCCTCCTGGGGCTATTTTGGGCATAGAAGTCTGACAGGACTACAAAAACCATCTATAGCACAGGGCATGAAAAGGGTACCCTCCTGTCATTATTTTGGGCATAGCAGTCTGACAGGACTACAAAAACCATCTATAGCACAGGGCATGAAAAGGGTACCCTCCTGTCATTATTTTGGGCACAGCAGCCTGACAGGGACTACAACGACCATCTATAGCACAGGGTATGCAAAGAGAGCCCTCCTGTGGTTATTTTGGGCGTGATAGCCTGAAGGGGACTACAAAGACCATATATAACACAGGGCATGCAAAGAGAGCCCTCCTGTGGTTATTTGGAATAGCAGCCACCCAAGGAAATGATACTTACCCCAAAGAGGGCAAAAAAGTCACAAACTGTGTTGGTCATTTTAGGGACAAAGTCATCAGAAGGCGCCATTACGTCGACCTAACTCTTTTCTAACCGCAAAATGGGTCAGACCTCAGGCCCTCCTCTCTCCTCGCCCCAAAGAGGGCAAAAAAGTCAGGCTTTCCCAAGAGATGAAAGACTAGGATTGTTACTTTAGGGGCAAAGGCAGCAGAACGCAGCCTCAGGCAGGAAGAACAGAGCGACCTTCTCGGCATGGCCGCCGAGAGACAGAAGCCTTTTTAATGGGGGTGTCAGTTTACGGCCTAGGTCGCCGCAAAAGGAAGCTGGAGGGTGAATAAGAAGTAACGGACCGGAAGTGGGCCATGGGGGACAGCGATATCGAGGGACAGGAAGTATGCTATGACGAGGCCTCTCGGAAATTCTGGGTGAAGAACCAGCCGGCGGACATGCGCAGAAGGCCGAGAAACTGCCCGTCCCTTTCGGAGGAGCATAGAGTGGCGACGCTTTGGCGGACGCTCTGCGCTTTGGAGCTTAGCTTCTCGGTGTCCCGATCCTGGGCAAAAGGCCTACGACGGCCTCAACGTTAATGCTATGAGACGGAAAACTGTGCCCTCCTGTGGTCAAAAACGGGTATTGCGGCCACCAAAGGAAACCTTTTTCATGGCATTTTAAGGTTATTCTTCTATATTTTTATTCTTAACACCTTATTATTAATATTAACGGGGCGGACGGGAGGCCCGGTCGGTGCGACACGGGCGCAGAAGAAATCCTGGTTCGAGTCTTAAACCGAGTTAAGGCCTATCGTGGCATTAATATTAATAAGGTTTTAATAATAAAGAATAATAATCTTAAAACGCCATTAAAGAGGTTTATTTATTTTTGTGGCTGCAATATCTGATTTGACAGAGTTTTCCGTCCCTTGGCTATAGGATGGAGGCCATGAAAAAAAGCCTACCATGGACTCCAAGCTAAAGCTATGGGACCGAAAACTGTGCCCTCCTGTCAGCCTTGGCTGACGCTCTGCGCTTTGGAGTTTAGCTTCTCGGTGTCCCGATCCTGGGCAAAAGGCCGACGACAGCCTCAACGTTAATGCTATGGGACGGAAAACCCTGCCCTCCTGTGGTCAAAAACGGGTATTGCGGCCACCAAAAGAAATAATGGCCTTTTAACATTAAGGTATTCTCTATCTTTATTAACGGTATTAACACCTCATTACTAGGGCCAGGGCAGGCCCGTTTGCTGCAACGCAGGCGCGGAAGAAGAAATCTGCTTCTAAAGCCTTGAACCTAGTTAAAAAGGACTATGATGCCGTAGGTACGGTGCTGTATGTGCGGTACTGCGGACATGCGCAGAAGGCCGAGGGAAGCTGCCCGTCCCTTTCGGAGGAGCATAGAGTGGCGACGCTTTGGCGGACGCTCTGCGCTTTGGAGCTTAGCTTCTCGGTGTCCGATCCTGGGCAAAAAGGCCTACGACGGCCTCAATGTTAATGCTATGGGACGGAAAACTGTGCCCTCCTGTGGTCAAAAGCGGATATTGCGGCCACCAAAAGAAATAAACCTTTTTAATGGCAATTTAAGATTACGGTATTCTCTATCTTTATTAAGGGTATTAACACCTTATTAATAGGCCAGGGGAGGCCCGTTTGCTGCAATGCAGGCACGGAAGAAGAAATCTGATTCAAAAGCCTTAAACCTGGTTAAGGAGGACTATGATGGTTTTAATACTAAAATGCCATTGCTACACCTGCTTCAACCACAGGATGGCCCTGTTTTTTGACCCTTAATAGCCTTCAATAGCTTCAATAGATAAATAATAATAATCTTAAAATCATATTAAAAGAGTTTATTTCCTTTTGTGGCTGCTAATCCTTCTTTAACCGTAGGACTCAATTCTTCCCAGAGGGCTTGACCGCTTTAGTCTCAATAAATAACTTCCCCTCTCCCAGGAAACAGGCGAGGAATGACACAGGAAGTCCTGTGGACTTTCCTCACTGTTCTTAAATATCCCGAGGCTACAACCAAGCCAAGCAAAGCGGTTACCAACAGAATAAGAGACGTGGACTTCCAGCTAGAACTTAGCAGAATATCTCTCTCTGCAGAAAAAAAATGCATTAAATGGGGTGTGTGGGGACCAGCAAGGTATCTGAAAGACCTGAGCTTTCCTAAGAGTAGAATAGCATTTTTGAGAGCCAGACTTAATATCCTCTCCTTGGCACTCCTGCAGGGCAGGAATAATAAAACCCCAAGACTGAGTGAAGGTGTACTTGTGGCAGAGGGGAAGTTGAAGATCTCTCTCACACGTGTGTCCTGTTAGTCCAAAGCCAAACATTAAAATCAAAACCTGTTATTTGGATCTGAAAAATATTTCCTTTAATTGTATGCATTGTACTGTGAGAAAATTGTGGGAATGAGGGGCGGGGCTTAGAGTCTAATGTTTCTGCTCAGTTCTTGCCCTTTATGTCAAACGCCCAGAAATGTGAGAAGGGGCTCCAGAAAAGGCCGTCAGTCTGTGGGTTCTAGGACTGACTCGCTCAGAGCCAGATCCCAATAATGCTCAGTGCCGTGTTTCTTAAAATGCTCCCGTGCCATGTTTTCAGTAGCACACTGCTTGAACGTCACCTCGCCAAAGCTCCGCTCCTTTGCCGTGCCCTAGAAGGACACAGAGAGAGGCAGGAGAGATTCTGAGCCAGCCTACGTATGGAGGGTTGCATTGCATGGATTGGAAGCTCGCATAATGCAGATGATTCCTCTTTCCTTGCCCGTGGCTTACTGGTGAAGCCCTGAAGGATTGGTTAAGCACAACATGCTAAAAACACAAACCGTGCTTTACAAGCTGTGGCTAGCTGAACTAACCCTTTAGAGTGAATCCTGACATCTCCCACTTTTTGAATTCAAGAGGAGGGTTGCTCTCTGAAGGGACAATCGTACAGAGCACCCACAGTTCAGTTCCTGAAGGTGTTTCTGTGTCCTGTCACTAAGGGGGCATAATAAAAATCAGGACTTTCTTAGTGACACTGGGAATCACCAAATGCCTCAGTTAGACCATAAATATTACTCACCTCCCAAACCAGGGAACATTTGTTGGTTTTTTTCACAGATTCCTCATCATCTGCAAGAAAAATAAACTGCTTAGGGTGTAAGAATGGGGAAAAACTGAAGATGGATTTGTCTATGCAAAAGTACATTCAAGATTGGTCAGATCAGAAACATCCTTTATTCAAACAGAAGGTGAGAATTCTGCTCTTCCTTTAGAAAAGGCAGGATATAGATCTCTGCAAGCTCAGTAGCTCATGAAAAGAAGCAAACTTTTGGCGATAGTAAAAGACCAGTTCACGAAGCCATCCAAGTTCCCTTCAGTTGCCCCCAACTTCCTTTTAGTCTTTCAATTTCAGAACCAGCTCGCTGTAAAAGAGGGCTGCCCTTTCTAGGTCCTTTGATTACTTTAAAACTGCTATAAGTCGATTGTCTTCTTAGGAGAACCGAGACCAATGGTGAAATAGAGTCATACAAATCTATTCAATAGAAAACAATGCAACAGCTGATAGAACAACAACTGGCACTCAAAGCTCCCTCTTCAGTGTGTTCTCAACCGGGGAACTTCTCCGCTTCTCCAGGCCCTTTTGAAGGAAGCCTGGGCGCAGGAGGTCTGAGGTTTGCCTGCAACCCCCAAAAGAAGAAATGGCACCGGGCGCTTTTCTGTCTGTTCTACATCTTCGGAAGACGATGCTGGGAGTGGGGCCCGCAGCGTACTGCCTTCCAGAATCGGTCGCTTTTCTTAGTGACGCTATTTCTGTGACCTGTTCTGCAGATGGACAGAGCTGGAAGAACCAGTGGGTCCCTGAGCCAGGTGCAGCCTTCCTGGACCCCGACCTCGCCTCCTCCCCTTCCCCCCGTTCCAGTGAGGCTCTTGCCAGAGCTTAAGGTGTGCTTCCAGCGCATCACCCTGCGGAGGCGTTTATTTCTCAGTTTCAGCATTTTGGTAGCCCACAGTCAATCGCTTTCACTGACTTCATCACTTCTTGATAAGCATTTCCAGGCCGGCCCTGAGCAGAAGTGCACTTTCTTACCATCTCCTTTTGCGTTCGACGTCTGCTCATCCCATTTTATTCGGTGTAACGGGAGCCGCTGAAATTTCTTCTGTGCTTTGGGACCTTGGAAAGGAAGCAGAAAAGGTAGAACTGACAAAGCAGCGTCCCAACAAGTGAGGAAGCACAACTTCACAAACACAACAAGTGGGAGGAGGTCCCAACCAGAAACAGAGACCGACTCTCAAAGGAAAAGCCAGAGAGAGACGAGGTCCTTGTGCTGCTTTTCAAAGCGCACGTTTCTGAGGACTTGGCCTACCCTGACAGGATGGCCTGAAACCGGTTTGACTTACTCCAGATTGCGCCAAGGGATGCTATTTCTGCGACCCGTTCTGCAGAGGGACAGATGTGCTCTGCATTCTCCCCCCCCTCCGCCCCCCAAAAAGAGGCGGGAAGAAGCGTCGGTGCCTCGAGACAAGCGCAGCCCTCCTGAACCCCCAAGCCTGCGTTTCCCCCTCCTCCTGGACCGAGTCCCCGCATTGCCTGGGCCTGCTGGCGGTTCCAGCCCCTGAGAAAGGCAGAGGGGGACACAACCCGGCCCGCTCGCCCATCTCCTTACCTCCTTCCACCACCACCACGAGGGGAAACGTCGTTTTTCATAGGCCCCGGTGGACGGCGGATTTGACCGGAAGAGAAGTCCGCGATACCGAGGTCTTCTGTGAAAAAGGAAGTTGGGGAAACGATTAAGGACCGGAAGTCGGCCATCATGGGGGACTGCTGATAGCGAGGGACAGGAAGTCCACCATGCGGAGGCCTCTCGGAGATTACTGAAGAACCGGCCGGCGGACATGCGCAGAAGGCCGAGTGAAGCGGCCCTTCCCTTTCAGAGGAGCATAGAGTGGCGACGCTTTGGCGGACGCTCTGCGATTTGGAGCTTAGCTTCTCGGTGTCCCGATCCTGGGCAAAAAGGCCTACGACGGCCTCAATGTTAACGCTATGGGACGGAAAACCCTGCCCTCCTGTGGTCAAAAACGGGTATTGCGGCCACCAAAAGAAATAATGGCCTTTTAACATTAAGGTATTCTCTATCTTTATTAACGGTATTAACACCTCATTACTAGGGCCAGGGCAGGCCCGTTTGCTGCAACGCAGGCGCGGAAGAAGAAATCTGCTTCTAAAGCCTTAAACCTAGTTAAGGAGGACTATGATGCCGTACGTACGGTGCTGTACTGCGGACATGCGCAGAAGGCCGAGGGAAGCGGCCCGTCCCTTTCGAAGGAGCATAGAGTGGCGACGCTTCGGCGGACGCTCTACGCTTTGGGGCTTAGCTTCTCGGTGTCCCGATCCTGGGCAAAAGGCCGACGACGGCCTCAACGTTAACGGTATGGGACGGAAAACTGTGCCCTCCTGTGGTCAAAAACGGGTATTGCGGCCGCCGAAAGAAATAAATACTTTTAAATGGCATTTTAAAATTACGGTATTCTCTTATCTTTATTAAGGGTATTAACACCTTATTAATAGGGCCAGGGGAGGC